CAGGTCCCCACACATGTCCCTGGATGGTCCAGAACCGGGCCCAGGGTTCTGGAGGCCTGTGGGGAACCAGGGCATTGCTGGGTCGGATTAATGGGCCTGGTTCTGGAGCCTGGTTCTGGGTGAGCGGGCCATGCTCCCAACTGTCTCCAGTTCTGGATCTCTGAAAGCTTTTCTTTTATTTTTCAGATATCTTCTGCACAATGACCCGTCCTAGGAAAGCCTTTGACTGCCCGTTGTGCCACTACAGTTATAAGTATCTGGGTAAGCATCTGATTAACATGCACCACATGAAGAATCAGCAGGAGCGCAAAATAATTCTCCAGCATGCAAGTGGTCGGATCAATATTCGGAAGCTGCCCTGTCCTGTGGAGGGATGTGAATACCGCCAGTCCAGGCTGGACAAACACTTGTACCAGGCCCACGTCGAGATGCCCGTGGAGGACATAGATCAGCTGGTGCGATGCTTGAAGCTCCAGATTACGATTCAGAAACTGAGGGATCTGCGGGCCACTGACCCGACACCACCGATGATGTCTTATCTTGACCTGGATGAAGCCGAGGCCGCCATGCGGCACGTACCAATGCCGGGCGATGATGATGACCCGGCGGGTCCTTCCTGCGTCTCGTGCCAGGAGCTGGAGGCCAAGAACCGCAAGCTGCTCTGTGACCTGAGGTACGTTCGTTTGAAGCTTCGCAGTCAGATCCGCATGTACAAACGAGCCAAAAAGACCATCAGTAATCTGGAAAAGGTATGTATTTTAAATATTTTACTATAATCAATTACTTGGCCTGCGTTAAAGGGGACACATTGGTGGCTAACCCTGTGCTCATCTATGTCCCAGACACTCCAGCGTTCCATCTCGAGCCCCTCTGTGTCCCAAGAATCGGTGCACGCGGTGGAAGGAGAACCAGGAGCAGAACCAGAGACGTCCTCTCCAGAAATTGAGGCCCAGCCGAAGCCAGCCAGACGGGTCTCCCTCGCAGTCCTGCATACGTATCCACAGTTTCCTCCAGTCATATGTGAGGATCCTCCCTTGTGGCCTCATTTTCTTCTATTTTCATAAACTACACACGCTTGTTTTAACTCTGCTTTATTTAGTGGAATACATGCAAGAATACTGGGTCCATTTAAAGGGCTCCTCGGCCACAAAGAAGCACCAGGAGAACCAAAAGTCGAAGGTGGGGCGCATCATGCAGTTTCTATCTTTCCTGTCGGAGGGTCGGACGATTCTGGGGAACTGGATGTTCCTCAACAACGTCAAAAAGATCCACAAGTAAGCTTAAAGCCTTCTCCGATGTGGATCCCCACTTTTGTCCGTCTAATATTGAACGTTTTAATGCTTAAAGCTTTTTCCGATTTCGATGCACACTTTTGTCCATTTAATGCTGGGCAGGTTTCCAGAGCATCTCATGGCTGAGGGGAAAGCGGTAACCACCATCCGAGCATACCACATCAACATAGCTGAATTCATCACGTTCTTCCGGGACACACCACCGGCATCCTCCAGAATGTCCCGGGCTGCCGTGTTTGCGGTTGCTCGCGCCCTGTCTGCGATCATCTCGAGGCTGGGGAGGCGTGTGGTCATTCAACAGATCCGAGTTAAAAAGCAAAAAATCAGCACTGCGATTCCCAGGGAGGCTCTCAGAAGGTGCCAGGCCCTGGCCCGGCAAACTATTCCAAATATTCTCTGTAAGTCTTATCAGAGTTCTGGACATTAAGTAACACTAGCTCGTGCTTCAGACTGTCCCACAGCTAACCCTCTAATGTGTTTAGCTGCACTGGCCACCAAGGCTAACCCGGAGACAAGGAGGAGGTTTTACGGGTACTTCAGCGCCTATGTGGCCAGCCTTTACGGGCACAGAGCGGGGGTCCTAAAAAACATGACCGTGTCAGAGGTCCGCGAAGCCCGCCAGGAGGGCGGTACTGGAGAGCAGGGGGGCTTCGTGATCAATGTAAGTGTACCGATGTTGCACTCATAGACACAGCCTATATTCACCTGTGTCCCAGACATACGTGGTCACCGATGGATGTTTCCATGTGTCCAGTGACTTCCACCCTGCTTTGCTCTGCAGGTCAAGGAGCACAAAACGAACCGGGCCTTCGGACCGGCACAGATCTTCCTCACGTCAGAGGAATATTCCTGGATCGAGCGGTGGGTCGACATCCGGGACAAACTGCAGCCTAAAACGGATCGCGTCTTTTTCTCGGGGAGCCATGGTACGATGGAGAAGCTGCTCGGTCTAATGCAAACGGCGTGGAAGGAGATGGGGTTACCCGGATGTCCTACGTTCACCCACTTCAGGACAACTATTGCGACTTATGTAAGTGATTTTATTTATTTAAAAAAAAAGTAAAGTATTTAACAACTTTCTCCCTTTTTTGTGTTTTTTTTTCTCCAGGCCAGAAACGTTCTCTCTCCAAAGTCTCGTCAGAGCATATCTAAAACCATGTGCCATGACACGTCAACGGCGGACAAATTCTATAGTCTCCACCTGGATGCTGCTCAGCTTTCCGAGATCCGGAAGAAGTTTGAGCTTGCCACCCAGCCATCTGGGGACCCTGATGAAGATGACTTTGTGTCCCACCCACAACAGGGTCTCCTAGCCATTTCGGAGTCCTCCAGCGGAGAAGAACAAGAGACCGGGGGGAAAAAAACAGGAAAAAGGGTATGCTATTGGCATAAAGTGTCTGCCATACACAGAGTTTAACATGTATTAATTTGTGGGTTTTTTTTCTTTGTATTTCAGAAACCCAAAAAGGCCCAGGACACTACGTCGGAAAGCGAGGCCACCAGCCAGGAAACTACATCGCCCAGCCAGGGGAGCGCATCGCCCAGCCAGGGGAGCGCATCGCCCAGCCAGGGGAGCGCATCGTCCAGCGAGGGGAGCGCGTCGTCCAGCCAGGGCAGCACACCACCAGCCCAGCAGAGCCCACCAGAAGAACCGGGCCAGGAGGAATCATCGAGCCAGGGCAGCCCACCACTGACCCAGGCCCAGGGCACCCAGACACTGAGCCAGGCCACCCCAAAACCAGAACCGGGCCAGGGCAGCCCAGAACCGGGCCAGGAGGCACCACTGTCCCAGCTCAGCCCACAACTAACACCGGCCCGGTTCAGCCCACTGTCCCGGCGTGGCCAGGAGGAACCATCGAGCCAGGACAGCCCAATGTCCCAGGGCAGCCCACAATCAATTTGCGTTGATGACGACTTCTGTCCCATTCAAAAGTAATACGGGAGGGCTCGTTTTATCGTGCCCAGCCATGTCCGATGCTCGGTAGCGCCCCTGTGTCAATGGCGAAGTGCCTATTTATGTCTGGGCCCCTGGTAAAGCGGATGCCGACTTTTTTCCCATTCAAAAGTAATAGGGGATGGCTCGTTCTATCGTGCCCAGCCATGTCCGATGCTCGGTAGCGCCCCTGTGTCAATGGCGAAGTGCCTATTTATGTCTGGGCCCCTGGTAAGGTAGAATGCCGACTTCTGCCCCATTGAAAAGTAATACGGGAGGACCAATTCAATTGTGCCCAGCCATGTCTGATGCTCCGATGCGCCCCGGTGTCAACGGCGAATTGCCTATTTATGTCTGGGCCCCTGGTAAGGCAGATGCCGACTTTTTTCCCATTCAAAAGTAATAGGGGATGACCAATTCAATTGTGCCCAGCCATGTGAGATGCTCCGGTGCGCCCCGGTGTCAACGGCCAAGTGCCTATTTATGTCTGGGCCCCTGGTAAGGTTGATGCCGACTTCTGCCCCATTCAAAAGTAATACGGGAGGACCAATTCAATTATGCCCAGCCATGTCTCGGTCCTGATGCAACCTAATGTCCCACCCCCAAATGCCTCATCTCGACCCGAGTTCCCGGGGCCTAGGAAATGTCCAATTAATTTTTGCGACAAAATGTCCCCATGCAAAGAACTACCGAGGTGTCCACATTGTTTCTGGAGACCTCTGGTGGTCGTTTCGGAAACAGCACTCTAACTTGCAAAAAAATTAAGTTTTTTGTCAAACTTTGCCCACTTTGGGGGTCCGCCCCGGGCTCAGGGTGGGCGTGAAAAATCGGGTGACCCGGGCATAAGGGTCACCAGGCCTTGCTCTATTTTTAGGGCCAGGTCCCCGGACCCTGGGGCCTCCGGTTTGGCCCCAGTAATTTTTCAAAAAACTCTCAAAAATGCGCCCGGGTGTCTGAAAACTTCGCTCTTCCCCTATTGTGGGTTAGAGGTGGTTAGGTTGGGGTTAGAGCTGGTTAGGTTGGGGTTAGATATGGTTAAGTTGGGGTTAGAGGTGGTTAGGTTGGGGTTAGATATGGTCAGGTTGGGGTTAAAGATGGTTAGGTTGGGGCTAAAGATGGTTATGTTAGGGTTAGAGATGGCTAGGTTGGGGTTAGAGATGGTTAGGTTGGGGCTAGAGATGGTTAGGTTGGGGTTAGAGATGGTTAAGTTGGGGTTAGAGATGGTTAGGTTGGGGTTAGAGATGGTTAAGTTGGGTTTAGAGGAGGTTAGGTTGGGGTTAGAGGTGGTTAGGTAGGGGTTAGATATGGTTAGGTTGGGGTTAAAGATGGTTAGGTTGGGGCTAAAGATGGTTATGTTAGGGTTAGAGATGGCTATGTTGGGGTTAGAGATGGTTAGGTTGGGGTTAGAGGTGGTTATGTTAGGGTTAGAGACGGCTATGTTGGGGTTAGAGATGGTTAGGTTGGGGTTAGAGATGGTTAGGTTGGGGTTACTGATGGTTAGGTTAAGGCTAGAGATGGTTAAGTTGGGGTTAGAGATAGTTAGGTTGGGGTTAGAGAAAATCATATGGTGAATTGACATGAATCCATCTGGAATAACACAGGGGCTTATCCTGTATTTTATTTATATGTCTTGGGTACAATTGTATTTGATAAAAAGAAAGCTGCCATGAAAAGCAGACTCGAAAAAACTTGGAATAAAGCTGAAGAAGAACAAGTTGTTAGTTAATGTTGACAACCTCTAAAGATCACTGGTCACTCATCACTATCAAACAAACCTGGCTTTCACTGCCTCTGGGGGCAGGATTCCTGGAACCAGCTGCTCCAGTGGAGAGATGAAGAACCCATCATGGATGCGACAGTCAGCAAGCTCCTCTGTCTGGACACAACGTAGAACAAGAATGAAGGGAGAATGACAAAAACACTCGGCTCATTGTTGAGGAAAACCAACAAACCTTGTTGATGTAAACTGGATAGTCCACAGGAACCAGTGTTTTGCACTTCTCTCTGTCTCCAACAATCTTTCGAAACTCAAAGATTCTAAAATGTAAAATGAGTAGAATGAATGTTTGAAATCAGGGGAAGCAGTAAAGGAGGTGTTCAGTCTGGCCACCGTGGTACACTGGCCTAACTGGTGCACGAATACTGGTCCTTCTGGAAGGTTGTCATGACAGCAAGGTGCTCAAAATGGGTCAAATAAACAGAGAACACTAAGAATCAGATGACCATCAGCTCATTTCATCTGTTTTGGAACCAGCTGCATTTTATGGAGATGCTATATTTCTGGGAATATTCTGGCATTTCCTGTTGTTTAAGGATGTTTGAGGATGTTCAGTTCTCTCTGGGGATGCTTCTTTGTTTGTTCAGAGCCGAGAGTCTCTGCAGATTTCTATCTGGTTTCATAAAGACAAACGGTTCCTGATCTTTTGATGACTCTGGACTAAGAGAGTCCTAGACTAAAGGTTCAGTCTCTCTCTAGGATTCGGGTTCAGGAAACCAGTTCCAAACCCAAATGCTTTGACATCCCACCTCTCCTCCCACATGTTTTGAGCCCCTTTTTCTGTGACTGCAGTCACACTAGCAGGACCACTGAGGTCCCTGTTGGGCCAGTGAAGATGGGTGAGTTAGCAATCAGAGGGCAGTTCTTTTGCTCCAATTCCAGAACTGGATTCACTGCACATAAAAACTGTCCTCATGATGAAAACCATATGGTGAAACAAAAACACTTCATTTCCAGTTTAAAATCAGTTCATATCAAGTGGATTTCTAGACTGTACATAAAACTTAGTACATAAAACGGTTGTGGTGACCCACGGCATCCCCCCCTTATTGTCTATCAGACAGAGAATGAGCCTGGAGATCAGAGGGGGCAGACCTGGCTGTGATCCTAGATATCCAGAGAACACATTCTATGCTTTTATCTCTAACCCTCACTTCTGGTTCTCCTCTTCACTTTTTCATTCCTCTATTTTTAAAAATAATCTATTATCTGAAACTCTTCCCATCGCAGCTGGAGCACTCTCCGATGCTGGCTATAAAACAACCCAACCAGACTCGCCTAAAAAAGGCGAACTGTTCTCTGAGCTATTTTAGCTCTCATTGGACGGAGCTCTGCCTCTCTAACCAGGAAGCTGATGAAGCCTTTAGGTCCATTAGAGGCTTAGAAAACCTATTCATGTCTGCCTGGGCATGTTACGACCAGATACTGTGATGTCAGAAATGGGTCCAAATGTAAGCAGATTCTATTGGCCCGGATCTCCAGCATAGATGATGCCTTCCCTCCCAGCCAGATGCTACACTAATGGAGGGGAAGCAATATCAGCGGCTGAGGGAAAAACTGGTCACAAAACAGTTTTTTAACATAGAAAAACAATTCAAAGATTGGATCCAGATAATATCCTTTACACGCTTTGGGAAGGTTATTGGTCCAAGAACAGAAGATGATCCAATCCACAGCAGGAACAGAACCAACTTACCTTTTCAGGTCTTCAGGCTTCCCCCATCCACCGATGAAAAGCTTGGTGAGGAGAAGTCTTCTGTAAAACACATCCAGCCGACTTACACCCATGGATTGGCCCTGGGCATCTGCGCTGACAGAGAAGCACATGACTTTATGCACGCATAATACCAAAAGGAGAGGTGGACGTTGGTGGTAAATGGACATCAAACTTTAAGACATGAAGGAGATATGAATAAACCATGGTCATTTCTAATAGGAGGTAAAACACCATTTAGATGACTTTAATTAGAACGAAAATAATCCTTTTTCTTCTTAGAAACATAATTTTTTGAAATTCATCTGCTTCTAAATGCAAAAGACAAGAAACAGATACTTAAAACATTCAATGGAAACACGAATATCCAAATATAATCCTGCCCAAGGGAAAAATTAAAGGATCACCCTTAATAAAAGGGGCCCAGTCACCCTTATAAAGGGGCCCAGTCGCCCTTAATAAAGGGGCCCAGTCACCCTTATAAAGGGGCCCAGTCGCCCTTAATAAAGGGGCCCACTCACCCTTATAAAGGGGCCCAGTCGCCCTTAATATAGGGGCCCACTCACCCTTATAAAGGGGCCCATTCACCCTTAATAAATGGCCCATTCACCCTTAATAAAGGGGCCCAGTCACCCTTATAAAGGGGCCCATTCACCCTTAATAAAGGGGCCCAGTCACCCTTATAAAGGGGCCCATTCACCCTTAATAAAAGGCCCATGTGACCCTTATAAAGAGGCCCAGTGACCCTTAATAAAGGGACCCAGTCGCCCATAATAAAGGGGCCCAGTCACCCTTAATAAAGGGATCAAGTCACCCTTAATAAAAGGGGCCCAGTCACCCTTAATAAAAGGGACCCAGTCACCCTTAATAAAGCGACCCAGTCACACTTAATAAAGGGACCCAGTCGCCCTTAATTAAGCGACTCAGTCACCCTGAATAAAAGGGGCCCAGTCGTCCTTAATAAAGAGACCCAGTCACCCTTAATAAAGCGACCCAGTCACCCTTAATAAAAGGGGCCCAGTCACCCTTAATAAAGCGACCCAGTCGCCCTTAATAAAAGGGACCCAGTCACCCTTAATAAAGCGACCCAGTCACCCTTAATAAAGCGACCCAGTCGCCCTTAATAAAAGGGGCCCAGTCACCCTTAATAAAGCGACCCAGTCGCCCTTAATAAAGGGGCCCAGTCACCCTTATAAAGGGGCACAGTCGCCCTTAATAAAGGGGCCCAGTCACCCTTATAAAGGGGCCTAATCGCCCTTACAAAGGGTCCCAGTCACCCTTAATAAAGGGGCCCAGTCTCCCTTATAAAGGGGCCTAGTCGCCCTTATAAAGGGGCCAGGTCACCCTTAATAAAGGGGTCCAGTCACCCTTAATAAAGGGGGCCATTCACCCTTAATAAATGGCCCATTCACCCTTAATAAAGGGACCCAGTCACCCTTAATAAAGCGACCCAGTCGCCCTTAATAAAGCGACCCAGTCGCCCTTAATAAAGGGACCCAGTCACCCTTAATAAAGGGGCCCAGTCACCCTTAATAAAGGGGCCCAGTCACCCTTAATAAAGGGACCCAGTCACCCTTAATAAAGGGGCCCAGTCACCCTTAATAAAGCGACCCAGTTGCTCTTAATAAAGGGACCAGTCACCCTTAATAAAGCGACTCAGTCGGCCTTAATAAAGCGACCCAGTTGCCCATAATAAAGGGGCCCAGTCGCCCTTAATAAAGGGACCCAGTCGCCCATAATAAAGGGGCCCAGTCGCCCTTAATAAAGGGATCAAGTCACCCTTAATAAAAGGGACCCAGTCACCCTTAATAAAGCTACCCAGTCACCCTTAATAAAGCGACCCAGTCGCCCTTAATAAAGCGACCCAGTCACCCTTAATAAAGCGACCCAGTCGCCCATAATAAAGGGGCCCAGTCGCCCATAATAAAGGGGCCCAGTCACCCTTAATAAAAGGGACCCAGTCACCCTTAATAAAGCGACCCAGTCACCCTTAATAAAGCGACCCAGTCACCCTTAATAAAGGGATCAAGTCACCCTTAATAAAGGGGCCCAGTCACCCTTAATAAAGCGACCCAGTCGCCCTTAATAAAGGGACCCAGTCACCCTTAATAAAGGGGCCCAGTCACCCTTAATAAAGCGACCCAGTTGCTCTTAATAAAGGGACCAGTCACCCTTAATAAAGCGACTCAGTCGGCCTTAATAAAGCGACCCAGTTGCCCATAATAAAGGGGCCCAGTCACCCTTAATAAAGGGGCCCAGTCACCCTTAATAAAAGGGACCCAGTCACCCTTAATAAAGGGATCAAGTCACCCTTAATAAAAGGGACCCAGTCACCCTTAATAAAAGGGGCCCAGTCACCCTTAATAAAGGGATCAAGTCACCCTTAATAAAGGGGCCCAGTCGCCCTTAGTAAAGGGGCCCAGTCGCCCTTAGTAAAGGGGCCCAGTCACCCTTAATAAAGGGGCCCAGTCACCCTTAATAAAGGGGCCCAGTCACCCTTAATAAAAGGGGCCCAGTCACCCTTAATAAAAGGGACCCAGTCACCCTTAGTAAAGGGGCCCAGTCGCCCTTAGTAAAGGGGCCCAGTCACCCTTAATAAAGGGGCCCAGTCACCCTTAATAAAGGGGCCCAGTCACCCTTAATAAAGGGACCCAGTCGCCCATAATAAAGGGATCAAGTCACCCTTAATAAAGGGGCCCAGTCACCCTTAATAAAAGGGGCCCAGTCACCCTTAATAAAAGGGACCCAGTCACCCTTAATAAAGGGATCAAGTCACCCTTAATAAAGGGGCCCAGTCGCCCTTAGTAAAGGGGCCCAGTCGCCCTTAGTAAAGGGGCCCAGTCACCCTTAATAAAGGGGCCCAGTCACCCTTAATAAAGGGGCCCAGTCACCCTTAATAAAGGGACCCAGTCGCCCATAATAAAGGGATCAAGTCACCCTTAATAAAAGGGACCCAGTCACCCTTAATAAAGCTACCCAGTCACCCTTAATAAAGCGACCCAGTCGCCCTTAATAAAGCGACCCAGTCACCCTTAATAAAGCGACCCAGTCGCCCATAATAAAGGGGCCCAGTCGCCCATAATAAAGGGGCCCAGTCACCCTTAATAAAAGGGACCCAGTCACCCTTAATAAAGCGACCCAGTCACCCTTAATAAAGCGACCCAGTCACCCTTAATAAAGGGATCAAGTCACCCTTAATAAAGGGGCCCAGTCACCCTTAATAAAGCGACCCAGTCGCCCTTAATAAAGCGACCCAGTCGCCCATAATAAAGGGGCCCAGTCACCTTTAATAATACCGAGTACCTAGGCATGAATACACACTAACTAAGTATGAATACCGACTTTGTTCTTTGTTCATGCCTTGTTACTCAGCATTTCTTCTTAGTTACTCAGCATTCATGTGTAGTTACTTTTATTGCGGCACTAGTGGCTCGTTTTTTCGACAGTAGGCTGACAGGAAAGGGGAGATGAGAGAGGAGCAGAGACATGCGGGAAAGGACCACAGGCTGGATTCGAAAACCAGTTCAGCCGCGTCGAGGGCTAAGGCCTCCATACATGGGTTGTGTGCGCTAACCACGTGCTTAGTTACTTAACATTTATTCTTAGTTACTCTGTATTCACACTTGGTTACTTGGTAATCACACTTGGTTACTCGGTACTCATACTTAGTTACTTGGTACTCATACTTAGTTACTTGGTACTCATACTTAGTTACTTGCCACCTCTAGTTGTGTTTCCCTCTTTAAATGAAGAAGGGAAAATCAAAAGCTGTGATGTTTTTATAGAGGATTGATTCATTCTGCAGCAGAGAGTCTAACATCTGGGTGGTGGAAGCCTTCGGCTTTCAGGAAGCAGTAGAAGAAACGCACGCTCTGCTCTGAGCCAATCAGCATCCAGCCACAGCCTGTCTTCACTCTGAGCCGTCTGCACGTCCTTCTTCTATGGAGGCCTTAAAAATAGCCTGACCGTTCCAACAATGCGTCCCTGAGGTTTCCACACCATGAGTCACCACTAAAAATAACAGCAAGTCCAGCTGACCTGGAGACGCTTCTCCATAGAAATAAGAACAACACTGACATTTTAAAGCTAAACTTTGGATTTGAGTCGAACACAGCTGCCTTTCTTTAGCTACATACAAGCTTTAAACCACACAAACAATTATAAACAAAACAAAACAATACAGCTGTGCTGTAAAGTTTACACACCACAGTCCAACAACATGACTGTTGGGTTAATTGGCTTCTCTAAATCCTCCTTAGGTGTGAGTGTAAATGGTTGTTTGTCCCGTTTGTCTCTGTGTTGCCCTGAGATGGACTGGAGACCTGTCCAGGGGAGACCCCGCCTCTGTCCAGGGTGTCCCCCACCTCTCTGTCCAGGGTGGACCCCGCCTCACTCTGTCCAGGGTGGACCCCGTCTCTCTGTCCAAGGTGGACCCGCCTCTCTGTCCAGGATGGACCCCGCCTCTCTGTCCAGGGTGGACCCCGCCTCACTCTGTCCAGGGTGTCCCCCACCTCTCTGTCCAGGATGGACCCCACCTCTCTGTCCAGGGTGGACCCAGTCTCTCTGTCCGGGTTGGACCCAGTCTCTCTGTCCGGGTTGGACCCAGTCTCTCTGTCCGGGTTGGACCCAGTCTATCTGTATATATATTTATATACTTTTGATTGATCTACCTTTGAATGAGGGCACGCCTAAAAGTGTACATTTCTATGTAGTTTTTTTCTATGTAGTATTTATCGGGCAGAAAGAAAAATATGTATTTAACAGTAAGAATGCAGGTGGGGAGGCGCCTGGTTGGTCAAACAGGAACCATCACAGCTTCTGACCTGTTGGTCTGTTCTGTATCAGGGCTATGACGTCATCCAGACTACTAAAAGCTGAGTGTTTTTGAGAGCGACCCAAAGTCAAGCTGTTCCTGCGGCTTCGGTCTAATAGAGACAAACCCCAGAGGCCCTGCAGCTGCAGCCACAGCCAAAGGTGGCGCTACAACCTATAAACTCAAAGGGGATGAATAATTTTAAATGCCAAATTTTCTGATTTTTTACTTTAAAAAGAGTTTATTTAACCAATAAATTTATGTTTGAAGCCGTAAATGTGGCAAAAGGTTGAAAAGTTCCAGGCGGGTGAATACTTTCAG